GTAAAAGAGGTATTGAATGATACAGCTCTTTATAAACTGTGTAATGTAACGATTGTTCCACATTTCATTTACTATATTGAAATTTGAGGAAAAGAATGTAAGTCAAGTAAAACCTATTTTATTTTACCATAAAGAGCTATAAGAATTATTAATAGAAAATGCTATAGTCATCCAACAAATGCATTGTTTTATCAGTTGAAATGATTGAAATTCCATTATTTGATTGATTATAGTGTTTTACAAGTAATGTGTAAAGCTCATAAAAATATTAACATCAAATATTTCATTGAAATTTGTTAAGAGTGAACGTCATTGTAACCTAAAGGGAACCAGTCTGAAGGGATGTTCTGTAATTTAAGGAATAAGTTTTTAGAATAGTCTTACTACTATTACAAAACCTCTGAAACAATGTTTGTGTTTTAAAAAGATGATGTTAATGATGTTAAAGATTAGTTARATAAGGTAAGATGTTAAAATTATTGGGAATGAGATTCTGAATCTCAATGAGACTACCTGTATAAATAAAGGGCAAGTAAATAAAATGAAAAAAATATTGGGAAAAAACGTTTGTTTTATTTAATGGAAATAAGATATGAATGATGTTTTTTTTTTAAATATGGAGATCTTTGAAGCTTAAGTTTATTTCTTGGTTGAAGTTGTTTTCTGAAAATAAGTTGTGGACATGATAATATTTTTCTTCACTCATTCACGGCATGATTGACTATTATTGTTTTATTTTACTGTATATAGACTGAACAAATTAATGAATTAAACACATTATAAAAAACAGAATGGGTACAGCGGTTAGTTGGTATCATGTTGTGGGTGGAGCCCTGAGCATGACTCATAGACATTATGTCACTGGAGCTTCCATATATGGTCACGCAGGAACATTTCCTATAGTGAAACACCTCACTTTATCCAAGAACCAGAGTTATGTTAAATGATRTAGTTTTACTTGAACAAATTAAACAGTTAAAGGTTATACAGTATTATAAATTCAGATTCATACTCAACATGGAGACATCAGTGAAGTCTTCTGTAATCCCAGAATACCTGTCAGAATATGTTCAGTGAGGTGACATGGTAAAGTTTTGTTGTTGCTTCTGCACTTGGACCTCAGACTTCATCCTGAGCCAGGAGGTCTCTATCAATCAATAACTATTCCCACTTTATATAATCTGGTTTACAGACTTTGTCTGCATTGATTTTTAAATCCTTTAGCTGCCCCACAAACAACTGATCTTAAAGACAGGAGATGACTGATGCAGTTTTTAAAGTACATAAACATTTTACACTTTAGTGGCACAATCATTAAATACTTCCTTCATTGATTTAGTTTTTTATTAATGACATATCGTCCACCACAATCCAGAGTTTAAACTAAAATCATCTTATTGTGAGAAGGGACAGAGTTAGCTCAGCTTGGCTTGGAGGAAAACACTACTATAAGTGACCAGATTTACAGTAGGTGTAATCAGCTGTTTTCCATCAGATTAATTAATGTTATATCAAAACATCTGATTTTAATTCATTTCGATTTGATCTTTGTGACTGTTAAGGTAACTGATTCCTGTTTTGGTAATTTTCAACCAGAATTTCAGTTCAGTTTGATTCAATTAGAAAGGATTATGGATCCTTTCTAACTTAACATCTTTGGATTTCAAACACTTCTCAGATTATCACTGTGACCTGACAGATTAAACAGATTAACCCTAAATGACTAATAAATTCAGGTTAAACATTGTCATACTTTCATCTATATTCTCACAGATTTCCTACATTTTAATCTTGTTTCTACATTTTAACAGACAAAAACAAAACACTGGTGAGGACAAACTTAAATCTAAATGATAATCCAGACAGGGATTATTGTTCTTTATTATTATTCTTCTGCTACCTTTCATTTTCTTTAGATTTTTAATTTGTGTAATGTCATAGTGTTTTTAATGTATTTTTTAATGAAATGAATAATTTTTTTGAATTAAATTGAGTTGAAATTATTTATTGACAATTTGGAATTGATCTTTCATAAATCTAACATGAGTTATTTCAGTGTTTGACCTTCACAGCCATGGTGTCAAACACTGAACTGTCACATTTATAAACCCACCATTTACAGACCTCAGAAGAAACAGGTTAATCTGTCACGACAACAACAAGAACTGGTTAAAACTGGAACTGATCCAAGAAAATATGTCAAAAAAGGCAACATTTAAAAGCAATGGGGCTCAGTTTAACATTTAAAGCCAGAAGAGAGAACATTTCTCACACAGCTACTGAGCCAAGGTGGAAGAGACCATTTGTCTCGAATGTGTGTGTGTGTGTGTGGGTGTGTAAAGTAACGTAAGTAAGTAAAGTTTTATTTATATAGCGCCTTTCACAGAAATAAATTCACAAGGTGCTGTACATTCAGGGAAGGGGGGAGGGGGCAGTTAAGACACACCCATTCAAGAAGACATACAAGACAAACATGGGGGAACAGGTGAAACAGATCATGCAGCAAACAGTTGTGTTACCTTCAACAACAGAAAAACTAAAAACCACACAAGGGAAGATGAGGAAAAAAAGACAAAACATCTTATTATATCAACAATGTGACACACTATGGTGTTTATAAAAAAAAACAACCTCTGCATAGAGCAGATTTATTAGCCAGAGGAGTAAGTGAGTTTAGGAGGGTGTGTATCTGAAGCCATGAGTGTTGTGTGCACTTGTGTGAATATCTGAAAAATGAACCTGAAGAATCCAGTTCCCAAAACCAGCACAGCCATAGTTCAGAATATTTATGGTAACTGTTCATTCTGTGCRGCCCTCAGCCTGCTCCAGGAACCAGATCACAGACAGGAGTGGGGGGAGCCTCAGTCGACGTATACATCCAGGAAGAATTTAGTCCAACAATATTTCCTACCATATGAGGACATTTTTAGACAAAACACCTACACAAGTAGACATGTTTTTGCTACATTGTGTGAACCTTTTTCCAGAAAAAGGCAGCCTTGTGGGGACCAACACCTGGTCTTCACAGGTACGGATGCTAGTGGTGGGATAAATGGCTCTTTGATGGGATCCGGATCTTAGGATCTCGTTTGTTTCATAGAGCCGTTCGATTTTGAATGAGTTACATCATCACGTAGGGAAATACGTCATCACGTATGGCGACGTGATGATGTCATCACGTTACGTGGGCGGAACCATGTGTTTTGTCAAGCTGAAATCTCCCTCCGCCTTTCCCGTGAGCTTCTGTTCTCCACCGCTCTGCCTGTTTTCTATGGAAAAGCAAAGCAGGAGCGATTTAAGGATGAAAAAATAAAGATTATATGAGGAATAAAATATATAAAACTACAAATTGCTCGTTACTGCCCGCAACTCGGCTCCTATCGTTCGTTGTAAAGAGCCGTTCAAAAGATACGGATCATTCGTGAACGTCACATCACTTACGGATGCTAATTTTGGGTGGGGGTTTGGTTTAGGGCCATGGTGTGAATTGAGTTTAGGGTCAGGTCAGGTTAGTTTTAGGGTAAATGTTCAAGGTTAGGCTATACATTTACCAAAAAAATGGAATGGAAGTCAATCCACGGTCCCATGTGAATTTGAAAACAAAACGGTGTGTGTGCCTTTTAACAAAATATTTAATGAACCAATGGATGGATGTTACTGAAACTTTTAGTAAATAGTGACTGAATGTACAATTCATGAACTTCTCCAACACACACACACACACACACACACACACACACACACACACACACACACACACACACAATGGTTTGTCAGTGAAAAATTATACAGCGTAACAGAGCAGATGCATGAGTGCAGCCGTACCTTTGCAGCTCAGTTATGCAGTTTTTCTCTAAACACAGATYCTCCAGCTGAGGCCACATGACGGCACACTCCAGAACCTGATCACAGACAAACAGAAAAGAGGAAATAATCAACCTTTTGGGAAACTGAAGAGGAGAATTGATTTAACACAATCAGCCTCCCATTACTATATACTGCTGCTCACTAGGGCTGCCACAAAGGATTATTTTAATAATCGATTAATCACCGATTTTTTTTTTCGATTAGTCGACTAATC